ATCCACAACGTGTTCAGTGTAAATCGTCAGACGGTCTTCATATTTTTCATAATTTTGTCTTTGACTTTACATATGGATACTACATATGGATGAAAATGTTGATGTCTTATATAAATATCTAGATAAAAATTATTTTATCTATCTATATCTAGATAATTTTTTTTTATCTAAGCACAACACTGATGATAGCATGGAAAAATTAGAGAAAACCAAACACAAATAATTATTCTATTTATTTAAAATAAACAGAAATACAATTGATCCGAGTAGAAAAAAAATATTTAAAATATTTCGTGCCTTTTTATTCTCATTAAATTTAAAATTATTTTTATTAATTTAGATTTAAATATGTAATGCTAGAATCAGTAGTACAACTTGCATATATAATATAAATAATACTAATATCAAATTGAATATCAATTGAAATGTGTGTAACTTTCCAAGATTATTCAGAATTGTGCGTTTTATTCGATGTGATTCTTATTCTGAAAACATTTATAGTTATCAAAATGTATGACAATCATGCTAAAAATTAAAAATTCTAAATTAAATTTCAATATTCCCAAAACATTTCAAAGAATTCATACAATTTCGGTTAGGCCGCATAGGTATACCGCATACAGCATTTGGTTTTCAAATACAAATGACGATCACTCTAAGTATTCTAGAATATTACAAAAACATTAATGGCATAAGTTTGAGGTAATTCAAAATTATAAGTTAATACTGTTTCAACATTTTATGCGCTAATTTCTTTGTCTTAGTATTATATGTAATATAAAAAAAAATGTATTTGAATATTTTGATTATATGGTAATTGTATTAAATCGAAATATAAAAAAACAAATGCTCTAGAGAACAGGCCATCTTAATGATTTTTTTTTTTAATTAATATACACGAATAAAAGACTTGAATTATGAAAAACAGATGGGTTCAAGTTATTTTGTAAATAAACGATGTACTACCGTTGATTTAAATCATATACATAAACGATATCAATTATATTTATTGTAAAGATTTTTTCCTGTAACGTTTTCAAATTTAAATAAATTATCATTGATGTCTAGTAAAAAAATTAAAAATTAACAAAGTAAGATAAACACAATATTATGAGTTATATAATTAATTATTCATTATATATATTCAAATAAATAAGTATTTAATAAATGTGTGATTAAAATTAATCGTCTTACTTAAATTATTTTATTCACTCTCATTGCATTAAATTGTGTTAACTATCTTACTGTCCATAAAATGTCTATTACTTTAGTGGACAATGGATTACTTACGGCAGCGGTTCCCAACCTTTTTGAGACTATTACCCATAAGTCAGGTTAGATACTAACAAATACTCCTTCCTCCCAAAAAAGTTAAGTAAAAAAATAACGAAAAAAAATATTTATATTATGATTATAATTATAATTCATTTTAGTTTTTCAAACAAAGAAAACAAGAGTTTTTATTACAACCAATGAATAACGGTAATGAACATAAATGAGACGGTTGATATTACTTTTTTCTAACAATTTGTTTAATATTCGGTTCAATTTCGACCAATGCACATCTTATGTCGTGTTCCAAGTTCAATCGGTTTCTTGCTTTTGTTTCCATTGTTACCATTGTTGAAAATCCAAGTACACTAATAAACAAACGGCGAACGACTGATGGTTAAAAGTTTAAAACCTTTAAATTAAATATCAATTTTTTTTTTTTTTTTTTTTTTTAATCTGTCTTTGTTCGCACCAATATAATTTTATATATAAGATATAAAATGTGTAGAGAATTATACAACAAAGAAAAATTCCAAGAAATTCAAGATAATATAATATTAAAAATATTATTTGAAGGAATTAAAATTATCAGTGTCATTAGAACATAAGATAAGTTATTCCCCAAAACTATTAACAACAATATTATAGTATTACAAGTACATTTAGAGGCATAGTATACATGACTAAATACATAACAAGTACTTAAAATTAAAATAAATAATTTAAACTTTATCCCTCAAAAAATCGTGTTTTTACCCCTTGGAGGTAATACTCCCAAGTTGGGAACTGCTGACTTAGTATCTCAGAAAACACTTCCCATAGTAACCCCTAGACTGAAGATATATCTAAAATACGTTATTGAGGATAAAAGTTGATCCTGGATAAAACTAAATGTTTCTATAAAAATATCTTTCTTTAAAAATCAATGAAATATTTATTACAAGATGCATTGCAAAATTAGAGAGACTTGAGTTATGAAATTCTTATTCGTGTTTATATGTTTTAAGTGTACGATTAGAAATTATTTGACTATATTTTTTTTTTTACGAATTGTATTATTATTTTTTAATTAAAATTAATTAGAAAATTAAGAATGTATCAAACTAATTTTTCATGCACGCCGTTTTCCTGGGTCAATGTGTGTATAATATATATTTTTGAATTTATTAAATAGATATTATTATATATTCATATTTGATTAGAACTTTGCTGGTCATTTTTTAGAAATTATAATCACACTTTAACTTTTATGGAGATTCAGGACACATTATGGTTATATTTTGTTTGCATTCAATATCCATCAGCATGAGAAGCTTTAACAAAAAAGACAGTGGATTACGGAATACTGACGTAATGGGAAGAAACTTATAAAACGAGAAATGTTAATTAATAGTCCTTCGACTTAAAGTACTTTGAACTCATCAGTTGGTCCGGCGAAATGAATTCACTCCATTACGAGTGCCTTTTATGAGTGACTAGAGACTTTAGAGTTGTAGTTGAACCCGGGTTTAGTTTAAGTTTACCTAATTATTTTTAGTCTTTACGAAAGAAAGTATACATCTTTTAGAAGAAAGTTTAAACGCACAAAATAATCACTTTAGCGAAATAGGAAACATCAATTACCACTATAAGGGTAATATCTCTAATTTTTTATAGTAAACATGAATATTCTTTGAATTGAACTATAAAATTGTATTTTTATTAGTAATTTTTACGGTAACAAATAAGATATTTTTTATATAAAATAGTTAAAATAACGAACATATGGTCTAAAGCATAAATTTTAATTATAATGAAGTGCAATTATTATAATGATATAATGATAGTCAGTTAATATTAGGGAGCATGTTTTACTATCTACCGCATGGTAATCATTATTTCCATTGAACAATAACTCTTAAATTCAAATACTAAATATATACATATAAAATGAACCAACGAAAGTTATTACTGACTGCGAATAGTAGGTAAAGTAAAAGTACGCTCAGTCGTTATCTTTTCGAACAATCCAACATCGGAAAACTACAACAGAGCGTCAGTGGTACTTCTAAAATATACGGTTGGCTTAATTTTTATGCGCTACAAATAATGATTAACCAAGGATACAATTATTTTATGATTATTCATTTCTAAAAATCCTGATTTCAATGCTTTATTATAATATAATAATATATTATACTTCCTCCGTGTTTCAAACTGCTCTCATTAAATATTTTATTGTTGGATTAAACATAAACATACAGTAACGAAATTATCAACCTGCAATTTATTTACACTTTAAACATTGGCATTATTCAGTCAACACTTTTAATACTCAATATTAACGATGAATACCTAACTGAAAATAGACATGGATACATTGTTAATTATACGATGATTTTAATTCAAATAAAAGTTCAAAATAATTAACTATAGCTACATAATATTAGGTATATCTCCTGTTTTTTCATGTACGATACTTTTATAAATTGTCAATTAAAAAAAGTTGTAACTTATAAAAACTTTCATACTCAGTAACAACTCTAACGTACATAGATTAAACAGTTTTTTTCGATAATACGTTATGTTTAAAATAAAATTGTTTGGAGTTGACAAAAATTGACTTACCAATTGAAAGATTATATTATTAAAACAAGGTTTTTTTATCTCGTTTAATAGACGAAATTAAAATATTTCATTTATTTATAATGTCGAAGAAATAATATATTTAAATATATCTATGTATTATAGTTTTATACTGCTTATCCTTATACATAAATAATAAAGTGATCTAATATTTAAAATCAAAAACATAATAATATATCAAATCCCCAAGAAAAAAAGAAAAAAAAAACATTTTACCAATAATAAAAAGATATTACGCTCATCTGGTCGATAAATATTAAATTTTATCGTAATTGTTTTGTGATTAAAAGATTTTGGATTCAAACATAAGACAAGGAATAAACGTATTTCCTATAAAAATAATTAATTGTTTTGCTAATAGTGATCACGTGTCAATTAATATTACGTAATCGGAGATATTTTCGTAAAATCTTAACTGTTTTTCTATCGGTACGATCCAACACGTTTAGATTTTGTTTCTCCAGCACTAAGCGTGACCCGGAATTCAAACGCGCATAAAAAACGAAAATAATATTTCTATCCCTATAGTTATTATTTTTCTAGTTATTTTTTTTATTCGTACCGTAATGTTAATATTACGTCGATGTAGACGAATGCATGTATTATACACGCTGGAATGGAGAGGGGGAAATCATGAACAAGTCGAAACGCTTACAGACACGCAAACGAAGCAATTACTACTGTCAACAGTCACTTTTTGCTTTCGCATCAAAGACGAGTGCTGATCGGCAACTGGCGGACCCCGGAAGCAGGTAATGTCCCGGTAAGATATCGTAAGTTTTCGGGAGGATGGAAGGCCATAGGAATAAATTAATATATTTTTTCGAGGGATTAATACCCACCGCCAGTCACCCCCCCCCTTTTCCCGTTGAAATAAACACTGCGCGGAAGACAGATCACACTAGACCGTCAACATGTCCTACTAAAAATACGTTAGTTTTATTTTTCAAATAGTTTTTGTTACGAAAAAATTGGAATATTCCATTGGATTTAGCGATAGTGTTTCGTTTGAATCGCGACAAAACGACTTATTCTCCGGAACTCGTTTGGCTCCGGTAAAAATCGCTTGCCGTCGGCCACACCGGTGGTGAACAACTACTCACCTCCGCGGGAAAAAACGGTGCAAACGTTGCCGACCAGAGAGACGTTCCGGTCCGGTGGCGATCCCGTGTCCGTTCGGACCGTCCAAGGGTTGGCGGCGACGGACCCGCGGACGCGTCGGCGACGGGTTTCTCGTTGCACGCGGTTCTGTGCGAGTTCACGACTTACGAGCGTCGCATGGCTCCGACGGTGCTGGACGACACGACGATTGGTCGTTACGGAAACGGTCGGCGCGCGTTAGACGAGAACGACGACGGATGAACGAGAAGTGGAGAGAAAACCGATGGTAAAAAAATTAAACAGAAAAAATTAAAAAAAAAACAACAACCAAAAGATCGCGGGATCGGTTGGTTCGAACGGTATGTGCACGCGAACGTTCGACGGCGGGAAACGGCGCAAAGGACGGCGGCGCGGTGCGGTGGACGACGACGGTATGATGCACGCGGCGGCGACCAGCGAGCTAAGTCGTCGTCGGCAAGCGCGGCGGCGTGCACCGGTGTACACACGAAACGCGTTGGCCGGGCAACCGCACCCGCGCGCACGCCGGTAGAACGTCGCGGGGCCGCCGCGGCGCACACGCACACGCGCGCGACACTTTCACGCGCGTTTGCCGCGGCGGCACACGGCCGACGACGTTTTACGTTAAACGCCGAACGTAATGAATCAAAACGGCGGCACGGACAGGTGATATTACTACCTCCCCGGCCGCGCCTACACCTTTTCCGATCTCTTGACAATTTTTTTTTCCCACCCGTCACTCGCTCTCTCTCTCTCTCACCGTTCCGTGTTACATTGCTCCTCGTCGTAATGTCATTGTCAGTGGACGTAATCCTAAACTTATTACGAGTACCCGCGCGTGAATCGTTTCAATAAAATTCGTTATCAAACGGTTTAAAAATAGATCTGTGTGTGTGTGTGTGTGTGAGTGTAAACGGTCTTTGAACAAGTCATAGTTAAAGTTAGTACTTTATCTATAGCCGTGGTACAAATAAACTACGGACTTTTAAAATATTTTTTTTTTTTTTTTACAGTTAATTAAACAAATCATGGCTATCTTTTCCCGATATAAATATTATTTACTGGGTAACTTTAATGCGTCTTGTACACGGTCTGCGTACCACGATTTTCGTCAAGGGTACACTCCGTGTACCATCCGTGTACCCTCCATTAAACCGCTCGCTAGTTGTTGTACGTATCAATATTTGTTAAGTGTTCGACGCGCGTACATATATATATATGTATATATTTTTTTTTTCCACAAAATGTTTTCGAACACGAGTCCCCTAACCGGGAATGTCCTTTGGGGGTGCAGATTACGGCGAAAACCCCACTCTAATAAATGTAAAATAGTCGGTAATTTTTTGTCCGACGATAGCTAAAGTTGCTAAATTTTGTATTTCGTACTAGGAAATCGGAAAATATAATATTCTCTTTTTAACGGTTCATTTATGGATTTATTTCTCCATTAAAACACGTTTATTCATTCTTAACAAGTACGAATGGGCATGGATGGTTACTTGATTTAATGGTGATAATTAGAGCAAGGACATTCATGCACTAAAAAATCATCAAATATGCATTTAAAAATATGCACTTATGCATCAAAAATTAAAAATACGCGGTTAAATATGCCCTTAAAAAAATTAAAACATTACAATTTATAGTTCTAAAAATTATATTTTTCCTTAAAAATTTAATTTTAATAATTTTATTATTATTCTCTATAAATTTTAACTATATTAATTTTTTTATATTAAATTGATTTGAATCTTTTTTGAATATTGGAATATTCTCAATTATTATTCTGCACCTAATAAAACAAAAAAAAATATTTTAAAATAATTGTTGAATTATTCTCAAATATTTACCTATCGTCTATTGTCCACAAGTATTTAGGTAATCATACTATTAAAATTTTACACAAATTTTTTTTCAACCGCCCCATCCTTTCAAAAGATGAAATGTCACTCCTATTCGTAACCGTATAGGTGTCTAAACGAGTATACATAGCCTACATGTTTTACATGAAAAAATAAAATAAAAAATGTATGTTATATCATTTTAATTGAAATGATAAAAGATAACCGACTAAAATTATTTCGATTCACATAAATATGCTGAATCAATGAAAATACAAATAAATTATAAATAAAATAAATTTGATATTAAATAATATTTTATACATATACACAACTCGTTACACAAGCTTGTCCTGATTTTATGTTCTCTACATACTTAATAAAATAAGTTCTTCAGATGAGTAAAAAAAAAAAAAAATGGAAAACGTGTAAGAAAATCCATCAGAACCCCATCATGAACAATAAATATGATGAACCAATTCTTACAATTTTTTTTTCTTAACACATTTTTGCAATAATTTATAACAGAGTAAATTTTTTGTTTTTAATTTATTATTTTAATAATAGTAAATTTAAAAAGTTTTGTTGAAAGGGAGGGTAACAATCGTTCTATTTTTTCTAAAATTTAGCGACCTCAGGGGGTACACGAAATAAAAGAAAACAATTATTTATATATATTTTTATGTATAACATTGAAAAATACAGGCTGTTTTCCACGCATTTATCATTACACAATTTTCGAGAGATTGGTAGGAAATTACAAAAGATGAACAATCAACATCTTTTTTTTAATAATCTAATATTGATATTTCAATACCAGAGAAACAAATCGAATGTAAACCAAGATTGTTTACTTATATTGAATTCAACTGATAATTAATTCGAAATAATTTAAATTCTGACTGTAAATGTACAAGGAATTATATAGAAATAATTAATTGAATTTTAAAGTCATTTGTTTTGTCAGTTCAACTAAAATTGTTTGTCTCGTAATGATAGAAAATAATGTCGATATGAATTTGGATGGGACACTTTTCGACCCTTTTCGACCAGTTCACTTTTCGGTCATTCTGGAATATCAATTTTCGACCAGTAGATGAAATTTATTAAAAAGTCTTAATACTCATATGTTGAGTGTATTATTATTAGTTTGAATAAACTATAATGAGAATATTGTAAGTAATATATACGTATAACGATGATGACAATGCAATAAATAATGAATAAACTAATGAAACAAGAGGGCTGAAAATTTCTAAAAACACTTTAATAAATTTGCTTTTATCGTGTTTTAAAAACAAACGTAATTCAATTTAAAACCCGTATATCTTCGTATAAGAGAACATGTTTGATACGGTAACGTTATTTTAGAACGAAAAAAATAAACATATAAAATGTTTTAAAGATTAAAAGAATGCTTTGTTCTAATGAACAAGGGAAAATAATGTTTCCCTCTCGCTCTCTGACAAAAAAATGATTTAAGTGAATTAAATATTTTGTGTTAGTAAGACGTACCTACTTTGTAGTAGTCGATGAACATGATAATATTTTAGCTAATTAAATACGAGAGTTTAACAGGAAAGTGACATGCTTGAACTTACCACATACCGAGTAGTATAATAATATACCTTTGAGTAAATCATAAACAGATGTTTGATCGAAAATCAATCAACATTTTAAGTAAGTAATTTTAAATTTTGTACCCCGAGAAACTGTATTATTAAACTATTTCCGTCGTATTAACTAAGTTATTAAGGTCCCAATTTAGATTAACTTTCCATAAATATTTTTATTAATTTTTATATATAACTATATTATAATCATTTTTCTTGGTTAAATCAGTGACAATATTACAAACGAATTATATGGTTAAACTCGAGACATTTAAAATATCGTCTCACGTTATTTAGTTATTTGGTAAATTATTAATTTTACCTACTAAAACGCATATAATAAGAAAAAATTTAAATATTTTATAATGACTTCATTATACTTCTAAGCATCCGTTACTACATATACTTATGATGTATTATTAGGGAATATGCTGACCATTTTGTTTCAGACATTATGAAGTCTGGTCACTGCAGTGTTTAACGTTCTGTATCAAACTATTAAATACAATATTAATAAATAGTGTATGTTTATATTATATTGTTCAACGACAATATTTAATTATATAATAATTTTGAAATATTTTGATAAAGAAATCAGTGCTTCAAAATTCTTGGTTATTACAATTCCAAACTTTTACATAAACGATTATATTCATCTGAACGTCGAACTTCACTTATAAACTTATAAATAACTTAGTACATGATCTGTAGTATTGATGTTTATATTTTTATAAGTTTTTATTAGATAACAAATTTCAGCCTTTAGCAATGTATAACTTTAACCCTCAACAATTTTATATCCTAAAAGAATGCAGTTAAACCACTAGGTACTTAATACGGCTCCGAAGAAATGTTTTCTACCGAAAAGTTTTCTAATTTTTTGAAATTAGAAACCCGTTTGGTATATTTGATAGGAGTTGTACTTAAATTTACGTGCCTTTGAAAGCAATCAAGCGTACAATAAACAAACCTACGTACCTTTTTCTTATTTAAACATACGTGATAAATGTATCAATCATCTGTCTTGGGTCATTAAATTTAAGATATAAACGAAGTTTTAAAAATTAAAAAAAAAAATTAAATAAAATTAGTGTCGTAGTTATATGATTAAAAATATGTTCTATAATTTATGCTTAAGAGCATAAAATACGATAACTTTATATCAAATTCACAAATACTTTTTTTTTTTTTATTAACCTATTAGATCATGTGTCACGATTTTGTGCTAACATACACCAATCTTCATCCGAATAGGATCCTGCAATATCCATATTGACACAATTTTCTTATCACAAACACATAGAATTTTTAAATAATAATATTATTGCTAAGTTAATTCTTGCCTAGCTCAGAATCTACAACTTCATATTTTTCAAATATTTTTAAAAAAAATTTTTTTGTTTTATGGGCCATCAAGGTCATTATTGCCCCCTTCACAACTTCTATTAATCCCTTTTTAATTATTAGCTAATTAAATGTTTAATATCAATACATATAATACATGTAAATAAATAATAGAAGAAATTAATCATCTTATACATTATACAAATCGTGTTTCACTTTATCAGTTTATATTTTATAATAATAATTTAGAATATACGATGAGTCGATAGCTTATATTATTACCACAACAACCGTCAAGAATGCCCATATTGTATGACATCGGTGATTTAGCTTCACATCACACTATTCGACGCAACTTGCGAAGTATTCAGAGTTCCAGTAACTAATTTTTCTCCTATTATATGGATGGGTTGATCGAAAATTATAGATTTGGTTTATTAATTTTTGTAACACACCAACTGAAGTTGGGCCAACACCAGGAAATGATCGCAGCTCATTGCAAAAGCTCAGGAATTTAATTTTGATCCATTCTGATGTTTCTGGAATGCCGTTGTCATTTTAGATTTGCCGCACTCACATAAACTATAAACCATGATATATATATATACATATACTACAAGGAATTT